TCATAAGTGTAAATTAAATTATCTGTGTGTTGTTATGCGAGTACGTGTGTTGGGTTTCCTCAACCTAAAAGTTTGTAAAAATGACAAATTAATAAACAAATAGATTCAAATGAATATTAAACGCAAAAAAGATTTTTAGATTTCACACAACAAAAGCCTGAACTTGTTCACCCATGGAGAGCATATACATTTTTTTTCAGTGTTCCTTTTTCCAGCCTTATCTACTCCAGATGGATGTGGTCATGTGGGTAGGAAAGGGGTGGGATTTGTTATAAAATCTATATAAGCGTCTTTCCAAAGTCTAATCTTTTTTGTTTATTTTGTCTCTTTATATCCTGTATCACCAATGTTTGAAAAAGATTAATGGATTTTGATTCATAAGGCCCAAACCAATTTCCAATTGTTGCCCAACTGCCGAAGCCAATTTTGTCTGCTTCCATTTTCCTTCAAGTAACTGTAATGAACACAATTATTTTATCTGAAAAAAATTAAACATGCTTACTTATTTTAAAATTCTGATTCTAACTTCCTCATGGAAGATCTGTCACTCATGACTATTGTCCACATTCATGGAAGCTCCTCACATAAATGTAATACTATAGAAAACAATTTCAGCAAATACAACAGATGTGCACACTACTGGATTATTCATATTTCAAAAATGCATCATGATCTTTGACATTTTATTTAGTAGCAAATAGACGATCTGTTCTGAACTCACTTTTCTTCATTTCCATATTAGGACACAAAGATGAATAATAAATGTATCAATAGTTACATCTTACGTAGGAAGCCATCGAAGGTGAGATTCCAAAGAAACTATGAAATCAATTTGATGTATCTTTGAATACTACCTTTAACCAGAAGATCGGAACTTTTTATTGCAGGGATTAGGTAACACTTCGTAATAGCCCAGAGTCAAAAAGAGAGACAAGTTTGAAAGTTTAAGAAGATTTATTTCTAAACAATTTAAAACAAGGCTAACGATAACTTTAAACACTATGTGATGGATGGATCTAGTTCCTTCATGACGTTACATAAAACACAAACAGTAAAACCTTATTATTAAAGCAACACTAAGTCGGTTTTTTTTCACTTTAACCAACTCCTTAAAAATTGGGGCTCAGTGATTGTGCTGAAAGAAAACTTACCAACTTTACACGGGGACAGCATTCTGCAGCCCTTTGCTGAGCAGAAACAGCACATAACACTTTTGTGGAGCGGGTAGGTGCCCCAGAGGGCGCTATTTACCTGCTTAAACGCTATTAGCCATTTTCTGTGCCAGTAGCCTACCTAATAAAAGGCTAGCAGTTAGCCGTTTTAGTTTGCCGACCGTCAATAAAAAACACAAGAAGAAAAAGAAGAAGAAAGAAGTTTCCGTCACGGTCCCCGCTCGCCGACGCACCTCCAGATGGCAATCTAACCCCGGTTTCACACTGCAAGCATCAGCGGAACGGAACAGCAGCGGAGCGGCTCACTCGCGAACTTCAAAGCGGTCCTTTTCACACCGGGAGAGTCTTGGCCGCAGCACGGCTGCCTCGCTGTACCCGCGAGATTCTAAAATCCCTCGAGACTTCCTACACCTTCCTCATCGAGAGATCACAACCCACGTGAGGAATCACACCATTGCACTTCTCGAAAGAAACTGGAGGTAAACAAAGCCGTTCGGTCACATGTACTGACGTAAGTTACATATAACATCGCAACGTTGCATTTTATTTTGAAAATAACCAGGGATTTTACACTGAAACCGTGTGGTTTCCTGTCTCGCACTATGTGAACTGTGAAAATTGACATGTCCCAGAAGCGGCTCGCGGAAAAAATAGAACTCGATCCTATCTTTAGCGGCGCGGCATGCCCCTTCTGGGACGCGCCTGGAAATTGCCGCGTCGCGGCTGGTTTGAAACACTCCATAGACTATGATTGGATTCTATTTGAAGGGGTGCCGCTTTGCTGCCGTTCCGTTCCACTGATGCTTGCAGTGTGAAACCGGGGTAACACCTAGGACTCCAGTTCTCAGCATTCCCCTTACTACTCACCCCGCTACATCATCACACAATATCAGGAAGCTCATCTCATCTACTCAGCACTCAGTCATTATTTTCCTGGAATCGTGCCTAGAGTTTTGAGCAAACCAGCTCTTCAATTTTTGAGCCATCCAGTTCTTCAGTTGTTCTTCAGGACACCTTAGAATAGCTCTACACCCTGGTGGGAAATTGTGTTTGCAACCATCTTCAGCTGACAGAGAAGTCCTAAAGCGAAACGTCTCTGTCAATGCATGCCCGTCTCTCACTCGGGGATCTTACAGAGAGGTATGAATGAGGCTTAACTGCGTGTTAGCTTCTCCTGATGCAAGCATCTCCACGTTTGGGTCGTAAGACACGCTACATTCCAACTCCCAGTTCAACCAGCATGACAGTTGGCATCACGAGGGAGCCTGGAAGTAAAATTAAGAGAGTAATGTCTTTGGAGGTGAAGCAAAGAGCTAAAACCAGAGGGGACATCAGCACAACCTGCAGTGTTTGAGGGAGATAAAGGAGGCTATGAAATTATGGACTGATGATGACCTGGCTTTGTTGCAACTGGACTTGTAAGTAATAATATTTTTGTCCAGCAATATGGATCTTTTTCATGGTTTCTTTTGGTATAAGTTGGTTTATGTTAGTGTTAGCTTGTCGTTAGCGTTAGCCACAGCAGGCTGCAGCAGGGATGTTCATGACAGTTGTAGTTCCACTTTCAATCAGTAGGGCGGGGAGCCGGAAACTTTTTAGTGTAACTTTAAGATGACAGGGTGATTACTGAGGTAAGAAGTCATGAAAAACATCACTTTGTTAAACATTTCCTGGATCACCTGTTTTTAAATAAGATTAACCTCACTGCTATAACACTCTACGTGGTGATACTTGTTAGATGATTCCACCCAAATTGAGTCTCTAGATCCCTGAAACAGTTCAAAGGAGAGAAGATTATAGATATTTATCATAACATTGAAATGTGAGGTCATTTTATGAATTCTTAGCTCACCTCTGTTGGCAGTATTGGCATCCTGCAGGCATCACAGCGGGGAGCCTTGATCCTGAGACCATGAGTGGAGTCTCAGAAACTGATTTATCTCCCATGTATCCTGTTTAGCAGGATATTCCCCCTTTTTATTAGAGGGTGAGTCAAAGGGCGAGGCCTATTGTAATTTCACCTCTGATAGTCGCTGACACAGTAAATCCTGCAGGCTGTCTACAGCGAAGGGCTGATCCACCAGCTGCAGTCTGCAGATGACACAGCCAAAAACAGGATGGGTGGTACGATTTCCCACAAGCCTGCAGGACCTGATTGTGGAGAAAGTTAGTTCTTCTAAATTTCATTTTTTAAGAAACGAGTTAACCCTCACCAAGTCTGTGATTGAGTTCCTGCAGCTGTTGCACACTTCTCTGGATGGATGAACACCTGAGAACTTCAAAAATATCTCAAGGAAGTCACAAAAAGCGAATAAAAATCGTTTCAATCTGAAGAATAAAAAATGCATGCTCACCAGAAAATCTTCCTCACAATAGATTAATCCAGATGCTGTAAAAAATGGCTTCCCGTGGAGCTGTTTGTCTGAGACAATGGTGCATCACAATGGTGCACAAGAACTTTAATACAGGAAAAAATGTTGCTATGTAAAACAATAAAACAGTAAAAGGATTAAAGGGTCATTTCTAGCCGTTTAAAACAATTAAAGGTGTAAACCCTGAACCCCGAACACACAAATCCCATTTAAGCTTCATTTGGGGGAATATTTAAAAAATAATTAATACAAGTCATAAAAGGTTAAATAGAAAGTTGAACTTCTTTGCAGAAATGTTCACAATCTAAGGACTCACTGCACATGCTGCAGGTGAAACATGCTCTGTGGAAGACATGACCCATAGCCTGGCACGCTCCTCCTGCAGCGTTCACCGCCTCACCGCATCTGGTGCAAAGTCCTAAACACACATAAAGAAACAATGCAAAGAAATAAGAATAAACACGTGCAAATGGTAAATATTAAACTAAATCAATAAAACTCTTCCGTCCTCACTAAAGTAAAGACTGGGAGTGTAACTGGGGTCTGTCATGTCCAGTTTGCCTTCATTTCCGTCCCCCAAAGCAGTCTGACAGACCTGAGGGGGTCTCGTTACACAGACAGCTGGGGAGCTGTCGGCCATGTTTATGAGGGACATGAGTCTGCAGACGCCCCGACTCCTCGGGGGGTGGGGGTGGGGGTGGGTGGGGGGGGTAGATTTGTGGGTGGCAACCGTGGCAACGGACAGGGACAACTGGTAGGAAGTCAGAAATGTGTCAGTTTTACTCGTACATCCACATCTTCAATAATTAATTCCAAGGATTTATTATAAAATATTCAAGCAGCCAAAAATTTGTGAAAGTTCTGCAGTTAGAATGTTGCCCATTTAAAAATGACTAAATCCCACAATGCCTTGCATCAATAATCCTGTAGGTGTCCTTGGTCAAGACACTGCTTGTGATTCGATCTGTGAGTACAAGAGTGATGCAAGTGGAGTTGAATGCTTTATTGTTTATTTTAATTAAAAAAACACTCTGCTAAATCAGTTTCTAAAGCTGAAGTGTACATTTAACATTTGAATGAAAGTTTAATGTTTGCTGTAAAAATGCAAAAGACCCTGGACCAGGGGCGCAGATAGGATTTTAAAACTGGGGGGACGAAGTTCCAATGTACCCTCCCCCAAACACATACACACACGCACGCACGCACGTACACATACACAAACTATTGCAAGAGCCTTAACTAGAGCTCAGTCAGTTTGTGTAATTTCATCCAGTGGTTTACGAAAAAACTAACACTATTATATACATGTTTGAAACCATTATGCAGTGGAACGCTGGCAACAAAGCTCTGCCTGATCAACACTATCCAAATCAGTCATTTATTCTCCCAATCAATTACTAACCAAAACCTCATGCTTTATGCAAAACATTAAATGATTTTCAGCATACCAATCTTTACAGAAAACATAAAAGCCCTAAAAAAATGCACATAAAATAATTTAAAAAAACATATTCACTTATCATTTAGAGCAGTAGTTCCCAGATGCTCCTTCGTATTTTTTACGTTATTTAGACATTTTCATTACATTTGGAAAGTTTTAATTTATATATACATAAATGAAGCTCTTTTTAAATTTCATATTTTACTTATTTTTATGATTATGTGGCACACTTTGACTTCCATATATAACGCATCGGCACCTGCCCCTTTTTATGGCTTTTTTTTTACATTGTCGCTACGTCTGTCAAGTTAGCGGTGATTTTACCATCATTTCTGCATCCATCACGTCCCAAAGAAGGTTAAACAAACATCAAACCAAACGTTTGGAGCTTGTAAGCTCCACACACCTCTTGTGCAGCACCAGCTGTCTGATGCTGCAGCAGCGTCAATCTTCCCGGCTGGATCAGAGACAATATTGTGCTTCATAATCAGAGTGTAACGTGATGAAGGAGCTATTCCTCCAGAGGTTATTTAACCTCTCTCCACAGATGTCTCTGACACAGTACTAGAGTGCATGAGACTGCCTCAAGGTCATGCATTTGCTTCTAAAACTGTTTTCTTTCCAGCAAGAGAAGAATGAAGATAAAGCACTCTTTCCTTTAATAAATCAAAGAACTCTATTTTTAATAAAGCTAATCAAAACAGTGTTAGTCAATAATATAATCAATAATATAATATAATGTTGACCGATCTGTGAAATGACAATGTTATGTTTAATATACTTTAATAAATAATATGACTTTAATCTAGTCACTAGACATGCTGACTACACATAATGTACACACATTGCTGTTACTGATCCAATCAGAACCTTCCTTTCTGAAGCGTGGCATAGTCTCTGTGGTGTTTATAAATCTGCCAACTTTGATTCAACCAGAAATAAAAACATCCAGATTAATAAAACCAGTTCCAACGCCATCTTAAGTTCAGTTCTCAAGATCTCACTGGAGTTCACCGCATGCTAAGCGAAGTATCAGACCGGCCATCCGGACTTCCTTTTTAAGCTGAGAACCATCAAGCTGGATAAAATCTGTTGCATTTTACCAACCAAGCAACTGTTCCTTTCAGAATAAAAGCTGAACTCGCTGACCCAAGGGGGGTCCATTTGATGCTGTGAACCACCTGTCGCTTTTTACCTGGAGACAATCCAAAGACTAGTTTGTCGTACTGCTGACGCTGTTTCACCGGCTCCTGTACCGAAAGGGGGTCCGAGGACCTGGCAGATCTGTACGGAGGTCTCATCTCAAAGGGCATGTGTGGAGCGACAAAATGGCATCTCATGTTTTTATGAAACTCCGATCAAACTCTGATCATAGCTAGAAGCAAGACATCACAATATCATTCAGACTTGCTTCTCCGGATACGAGAGTTCTGGTAAAAACATCACTCACATATGCACCAGTCATCTCACGTCTCATTACACCAGATCCATCCATCATTTAGAGTTAGTCTTGTTTAAAATTGTTTAAACTGTTTAGAAATAAATCATCTTAAACCAGTGGTTCCCAACCTTTTTCCCAAGGGACCCCATTTTTTACCAGTAAAATTTTTGATGACCCCCTCCCATTCTCTCTTCCAGTACAAACAGTATTAAGAAATGATAAAAGTGTTCAAGCACATTTTAATATGCTTGGATTCAATAGATAACAGTAATAGTAGGCTCCAGTACAGAACTAAGTCATTAACAAAACCAAACAGAGCATAATGTGCTTGACAGTTTGTATTACTTTTCTGAACACATTGTTTCTTGTAAACACTGATAAATCAATCATTCCTTTCAATAAACGTTTGACACATAAAAAATACACTGAGCAAAATGTACTTAAATGTGTATATTACCGTTTATACTAGATTATTTACTGTGAAGGCTGTGATTAATCAACCAGTCCTATCTTTAATGAACTTTTGACACTTGAAAATAAAACAGTGAGCTGAGCAAAATGTTCTTAAAAGTGTTACTTTTTCTGTACTAATTATTTCTTGTGTTAATATCAGTAAACTTTTCACTCATGAAAAAAATGTGAGCAAAATGTAGGCTATAAACAAGTAATAAATGAAGTTTTAACCCCTTAAAGTGGAGAGGTCCTGGCGACCCACTGAGAGGCTTTGGCGCCCCCTTGTGGGGGTCGGGACCCCCAGATTAGGAACCACTGTCTTAAACGTTTAAAAGGACTCTCTCTCTCTTCTCTTGTCTCTCAGTTAATACAAAGTGTTACATAATCCCTGCAATAAAAAGTTCCAATCTTCTGGTTAAAATAACCCAGCGGTCCGTAACATTGATTTCATATTTACTATGGAATCTTATGTCTCACGGGTCCTTAATTAAATGTAAATTAACTCTTTCACATAATGGTGTGTACCAGACAAAGTGATCAGTCAACAAAGACCAGACCTGCTGGCAATTATGCGTTTTATCTAATGTTTGCGCTCTTCATGTTGCGCGCATCTCCTCCTCTCCCCGACTGCGAGCCTCTCGGCGGGAGGCGATTTTCAAACTCAAATCTCCAAAACTTTGCTCAGCCTGAAGATTACACATCTCCACTATCTTCTGGTGTAAAGTAGTAACTTCATGAGGGATCATATTTGTAGACGAGACTTGTTAAAGTCAGCAATGAGGCTTTGGCGCTTTTAACGAGTAAGTCCCCAAACTGACAACAACGTACTGAAACTAAACAGACAGATCGGTCCCGCCTACTTACACTGTTGGTCTTTTTTAAATACGCAGAAATAGTTGCTTGCCTTTTTCGCTTCATCCTGCATCCTAGCAGCAACCACTTTTGTGCCTCTGGAGTCGGTGTTTGTTTACATCATGCTGCATTCAATGTAATTGGAAAAAGGAGCTTGCGGAGACGGAATGGGGTCGATCTGAATGGGGGGGGGGGGGGGCAGTCCCCCCCCCCCATCCAGAACCGCCCCTGCAGACCAACAGACACAAACTCAAATTCCATTTACATCTTACAGAAAAAAGCAATAAGAATAATCACAAGGAGCAACTACAGAGATCCGTCCAATCCATTATTTATAAAATTAAAACCACTAAAATTCTATGATCTGGTGGACTACAATATTTTAAAATTTATGTATAATGCAAACAAAAGGAACATACCTGCAGGTTTAATCAAAAGATTTCCAAAAAGACATAGCAAATATGATTTAAAAGGTCATGAATCATTTAATGTACCTAGACATCGGATACTCATTAAGGAACATTGTGTGTCCATATATGGAGTTAAATTGTGGAACAAATTAAATACTGAAATCAAGAATGCAAAAACAATATTGACTTTTAAAAAAGAGATTAAAAAATGAAATGATTAACTTATATAGATCTGTTACATAAATGCATGTGGGGAGGAGGTTGGGGATGAAAAAAAAGGGAAAAGGAAACAAGTCTATGTATGCACATGTGTATATATGTATGTATATAGTCTATAACTTTATACTTCTTTCTGTGTAACTTGTTTTCTTTCCTTTTTTTCAATTCATGGGTTGAGGTTGTGTCAGCCAACCAGTCCAGAAACTATATTGTTTAAAATTTTTAAGAATCATATGATCGTTTCATTTGTATTAATGTTATTTTAGTTAGAAGGGGCAGATAATATAAGTTTTTCTTCTTTCTATCCACCTTTTTCATTTTGGCTTGTAGCAATTTAGTTCTGTATTTTTATTTTAATGTCAATAAATGAAAATAAATAAGGACAAAAAATATCTGGATTTTTCTTCATTGTTCTGAAATATTCTGAGTATTTTTATTCATTTCATCAGGACACCATTGAAACTTTTGATGACTAAAACCTTTGGAGTGTATTGAGCAATAGATCAAAAAATTAGTTGTAAATTTCAGTTTGAGTTCATCTTGGAGTTCTGGAGGTTTTGGTTCTTCATCCCAAACTTTTTAATAACTGAAATACAGAAGTTATATGAATATTTATGTCACTTTATTTGTTTCTACAAAAAACTAATTATCAGCAAGCAAAGTTGTTATAAGATTAAATCATTTTAATAAAATGGGATCATTCTTTTTCGGAGTTAAAGAAGTATTATTTAATTTTATGGTTTACTGATCGTATCAAAAAGTAAAAGTATTTTTATTTCTGTTGACTTGATAAAAGCTTTACTTTAAAAACAGAATGGATTAGATTGAAGTGGAGCCAAACTAAGCAAACCCAGCTGCTGCTGCCTCCATGTGGACTGTTCAGGTCCTCCATCATGGAGTCTGCCTATAAAACCAGGCTCAGCTCCAGCAGATGAGTAGCAACAAGTCAGAAATGTAACTGTAACTGACGTTGTTGTCTATTTTAAAAGTAGATTGACATTTTTGTCATCCAGTCTGCCACGGATTCCTTGTTGCTATTTACAGAGTTGCCCTGTGGAGGAAATAAATAAAAGAATAAATCATTGTCAAACACCAGAACCAGCTAAGATCCTTCAGGACCGACCCTGAAACCATAGATATGTACATAAACATTGTTTTATACATATGGGTGAAACTCCCTGCAGCACATGTTGGCTGTCCAGCAGCTACAGTTACATGGGAGGGGATGTCCGACAGCTGCTGGTTCTTCACTGAGGTCCGTTGTTGTAGAACAAACTGCAGCTCAACACCCACTTTGCATGCTGTCAGACTGGTTCAAGCAAAAGCTGTGTGTCGTTACACACGCGTGTGTTGGTTTTCCTCAACCTATACGTTTGTAAAAATGACAAAATACAAAATAAATAGATCTGATTCAAATTTAAAGGCAGGGATGTTCCAGATTTCACAACAAAAATCCTGTTTCATCTCTCACTCCGTGTGTGTGTGTGCGTGCGTGTGTGTGTGTGTGTGTGTGTGTGTGTGTGTGTGTGTGTGTGTGTGTGTGTGTGTGTGTGTGTGTGTGTGTGTGCGTGCGTGCGTGCGTGCGTGCGTGCGTGCGTGCGTGCGTGCGTGTGTGTGTGTGTGTGTGTGTGTGTGTGTGTGTGTGTGTGTGTGCAGATGATCCAGCCCTCAGGTATGTTTCTGTGCAAAAATGTCCACCTTGTAAGGCATGTGGCGGCACGAGTGAGCCTCAGCACTTCTCTGGGAGTGTTCACACACCAGATTACATTTTTGTTGCAGTTCCACTGGGGAGGAAATGCACCTGATCAGACACAAGTTGATTTTTACGTGCAATCATAATCTGCTCATTTAACTGACCTTGTTATTTTTTTTTAGGTTTGCCAGCTTAGTTTCAATCATTTCATTTCCTGTTGTTCATCTAAAACAAATTTTAAATTCATTTAAGTAAATAAAGGCCTAAAATCATTTGAAGGGATGCAGGTCGCCTATCGACAAAGTTTAAATAAGAGAAACTAAGTTGCATAATATTGCAAGATCTCTTGCAATCTGTATTCTATAATTATGACTTATGATGTCATATATGAGATTATGATAAACTAAGTCCTACATCATAATTATGGCATCCTTGCTCTTAATTATAAGATACTTTCTCATAATTATCAGAAAATTACTTATATTGATGAGATACTATAGTCATGATGAGATAGTTAGTCATAATAATGACATGAGTTCTCATACCTATGGGATACTAAGTCATACTTACAAGCTAATTTATGATAACTATGTGATTATGAGAAATTTATGAGAAACTAAGTCATGATAAGAAGATACTAATTCCTAATAATCAGATTATGGATTAATAACTATCTGATAGTATGTCATATGAAATGCATTCTCACAATTATGACAATACTTCTCATAATCATGAGAAACTTTCTCACAATTAAGAGAATTTTTCTCATATTGGTGAGATTATGAGATACCAAGACATACTTCCCCATACCTGTGTGATACCATGTCATATTTATGAGAAGCGTTCTGATAATTATTGGATAATGAGAAAATAAATTATAATAATGAGAAACTGCACAAACACAAGATACTATAGTCAGAATGACAAAGTTCATAATTATGAGGTAATGAATCTTAATGAGGAAGCTATAGTGATAATAATGAGATATTGGGGTGTATTCGGTAAAATTCAATAAAAACATTGAAATTAATGAAGTCATGTTTTCCTCATAATTATGCAATGCTAAATCTAAAAATGGGATTTTCTTTCTCATTATAGACTTCCATGTTGTCATAATAATATTAGTTTTCAGGTTTGATCGGTCCCAGGCTCACTCCCGTTTCCACTCCCCACAGCAGCTCGGTGCCAACTATCTTTGGCATGTTGGGCTGCTTATAAATAGGGCGTCCATTGTGCCACAGCACGGAGAGCCACCGGAGCTCGAGTCCGACAGAACGACCAGCTTTCCGCTGACTGTGCGTCGGTAGGACTGCGCGGACCTTCCTGCAGGTTGGAACAGGTAAAACCCACCTGCGGGCCACGCCCTCCGCCGCGCACAGGTAACGTCGAGCAGGAAGTGGCTGTCAACGCCGAGGCTGCTGCTCAAAGTCACCGAAATGTTCGCGTTTTTCTGACTTCGACTTAAAAAAAATTATTATTAGAAATATCTTACATTTAGAAGATGACGTGTTTCTGTGGAACCCGCGCGCTCCTGGTGTTGTTGTTTCTGTCATCTTTGAGCTCCACAGGTGAGAAACTTTCATTTGTTCTAAACGATTGACGTCTGCTGCTGACTTTGAGCGCGCTGTCGCTCTTTTAACGTTTTAATGGAAGACGGTGATAAAAACAGCGTGTGAGAGAGCTAGGCCGGGGTGTAGATAAGAAAGCAGGTTCAACTCCTCCCACTGATCAGTGCTTTCCGACATCAACGCTGCTTACTTTCGCAGAAATCTAACAGTCGAGTCTCTGTTTTTCAAATGAGGTGTTTATGGAGCTTCCTGGGGGGCAGAAATTCACCACTTCATTAATCATTTATCAGCAATCTGCCACTGATCTGCTGAGTATGATCTCATGTTGGAATATAACTGGCTTATTTATCCACCTCTTTTTGTAGTTTTATCACCTTTGGAGGAAATATTTTAGAAATATTGTAGATTTTTAGTGTTTTTATGGAAATTGTGGACATGATTGTGTAAAAATCTTTCCACAGGAGGCAGTGGCACCTTTATTTCTACCTAAAATGCACCAGCTCTTTGTCTGATCCTTGTAACAAGCCTTATATTTTTATATTTAAATACAATTTCCAGCTTAGGATGAAAAAAACAACTCATTCCTTTCTATATTTACATGCTATATTAAAATGATAGCTGCAGATTACACGATTGGTCTGTTTTAAACGAAAATCTAATACATTTATTTAAAATTGTAGGTTTAAATCGAGTATTTTTTGTGTTTAGTTGTAAAACATACACTAGGGCCATGAATCAGTGGACTTACCCTGCTCTGTGTCAACACCATCACCCTGGCAAAGGAGGTATAAATTTTTATGGCACAATTTTGAACCAGTAAAACTAACGAGTCATGATTTTACAGCTGCGGCATTTTGCAGCTGCACACAGAAATGAGGAACAGGCATCAGAAAGTAACAGTGATAAGCAGTGATCGCCCCCCTGATTCCTGCGTGATGCCTCTGGGGTGTGGAAGACCAATGACGGGGAAACATCTCCACCAGTGATGCAACACGGTCATGTCAACACAGGGCAACCTCGGAGAGGAATTTTAACATCTTGTGAAAAACACAGGAAGTGATTGGAGTCCTGACCTCAGAGCCATCTTCACTTCACAGAAACGTATTAAGACAAGTTGTGTTACCCAATTAAAAAAAAAAAGTTTCTTCTGTAATATGAGTCATTATTCATGGTAATCATTGGAGGGTACAGTAAGGCGTGTCTGGTGGAAACTGCATTTTGTTTATTTTTGAAAACAAATGTATTCAGCATTCGGGCAGAGAGCTCAGAAGGTCTACGATAATCACCACATGTCATCCGTGACTTCAAACGCTGGCTGTTCTCAGGGCTGACCTCCTCTGCTCTTCGCCGTGTTTACAGACAGCTGCTATCTGCTCAGGACTTCAGATGACGCTGCACTGCTGCCTCTAAAGCACGCATGCATTAGCTGAAGGGTGTTGCAACCACTTCCCTGGTCTTATGCAAAACCAAGGAACTGATCAATGACTTCAGTAAAGGTCATGTTGAACAATAAGCCCTTCAAAAGTCACGGCGACCATCATACCATATTGGGATATCGTTTTTGACTCGCCGTTGACTTTTGAACGCAAACCGTTGTCTGTAAAGCAGGAAAATCATTTGCGTGTTGGAGTCCAGCGGGAAGATTTCTCTATGGGAGAAATGAACAACCCAGGTTACAATCATTATTACAGTAATTAATGAAGAAAGTCTCCTTGTTGCCCTCAGGGTGACACTATTAAAAAAACTAGAAGAAAAGCACATTCTGGTGCTCCTTCAGGTTTGAAATGACCGTATTCAGAGAGTAGCTTTTAACGACTTTTTTCACTTGTGATGCATAAAAACCTGCACTGATCCCCACACTGTCACCGACGTGTTATTGGTGAGCATTTTGATTTTATAATTCATAATTTCCTCTTACTATAATAATGATGTCCATGAATGTTAAAGACACATTTTGATGCCAAGAAAGTGCTTATTTTTAACATCCAGCAAAAGTTAATTTAGGTTTTGTGTAAAAACACGTAAAGGACTACGACTGCTCGTTCTCACCAAATTTACATCACCAAACCAGGAAGAAGAAAAATGACAGTTTAGCGAGCTTCACATCCTATTTCTAGGTTGAAAGCAGGATAATTGATTGTGGAGAAAACCACTGTAAATCTGGCCATGTGGTAAGTAGCACATGCTGGGGGAGACGGTGAGATTCTGCTTGACGTCATAAATGGAACTTCTCTTTTGTGGTCTTCAATTACCAATTTTTGACAAGCAAATCTGAAATTACGTGACAATCATCTAAACACACAGAGGTAGTTGAAGTTCAACATACGTGTGATTCAGGGTGTAAGTTAAAGCGGACCAGAAAATTACTTTATAGCCCAATTCACTTACATTCTTTATTATTATTATATATTTTTTTCGGTCAGGGGACTCATGAGCCAACTGGAACGGGAGAAAATCTTAGGCTCCACAAAATTTTTCTTCTTAATTCATGGTTACGATGTTGATGGCCCCTAGGCACTCAGGAGGTAGAGCTCCAACAATCGGAGGGTTGTAGGGTTGATCCCGGCTCCCAGCAGAGAATTCTGCTGTTGTGTCCTTGGGAAATACTCTTAATCTACCTTGCTTACTGCTGGTGGTTGAAGGAACCGGTGGTGCCTGTGCTCAACAGCCTCGCCTCTGTCAGTGTGCCCCAGGGCAGCTGTGGCTCATCACCACCAGTGTGTAAATATGTGAATGGCAAACTGTAGTGTAAAGCGCTTTGGAGTCCTCTGACTCTGAAAGGCGCCATAAAAGTGTGGGTCATTAATCATCATTTGATGCTTTGGTGTGCTGAAGAATTAACTGTTGACTTGTTTTACCCTCGCCTCACTTATTCTCTTTCATCAGAGTCCTTGCAGACAGTGGTGCCACCATGCAGTGGCTGTACTGTGACTGTTTCCACCACCCTGACTCTGGATGAGTGTTCTGTCTGCACGGTCAGTGGGGTGAATGACACCCAGACATCCTGCAGCTCCTCAGTAACCCTGGTACCTGTACAGGAGGTTAAACTTCTGTTTAAGTGCTCTCAGCCCATCGAACAGTCTTTCACCGTGACTGTTGACAGCTCTGTTGGTGAGTTTAGATCGTTTAGTAAAGTCTAAACACATGTTTCTGCACCAAAACGCAGAGCTAGTCTTATCTAAAATTTCAATGCAGAATGCACCGGAGGTACCTGCAACCCATCGACGGTAGAAGCCCCGGCATTCATTCTGCAGCAGTTTTCCAGAACCTTTACTTGGGAAGTAAAGGCACCTGAAAAGACACTTGTGAAACTCAACGTTCTCGGAGAAGGACTGATTGAGACATCACAACCGTGCCCCGATGGCCTGCGTTATACAGTGGCCACATCAAAAACCAACATTAAGAACTGGACCCATTATTGTCGTGGTGGCACTGAGAATGTTTTAAAGCTGCTCAATCAAGCCGTTGTGTCTTTAGAAGCACAACCGAAGACGAAGGTACAACTTGTGTTGTTTCAAGCCACCGCTGAAGCTTTTGGTAAGAACAACATCCTTGTACGACTTTTTATTTATTTATTTGTTGGAAAACATTTTCATGAAAATGTGGATGCATCCGCTCAGTTTCCATGTGTTTTTACTGGATTGTAAGGATTGCCGGAGTCAATGCAGACACTGATTATCAACCAAATAAGCTATAGGTCTGGAATATACTTGCTGTTTAATGATGCATACGTGTGTTTAAAATGGCTGCGTCACTTAACTTGTATTAATTTGAAACGTCATTTGTACGCATCTCCCCGAAATTAATGTGACACGTTCACACACTGCAATATTCGAGTAACCAGTTGGTGGAGTTGACAAAAGAGCAAGACACACTCGCCATGGTCACTCTGTCTCTAGAAGTCTTTCATTCCACCTACGGTACAGCTGTTGTCTTTTTTCTGTCATAATCTCAAAATTAACCAATTACTGGCCTCTTCTATTGACGACATGTTTGTTTTGGTTGTACCCGCAAACTAGTAGTCTAGTGTGCCCCCTAGTGGAACCCTCCAGTACTACCTTCTGTGCAGTACCATGTAGCAGCAAGTATGTGAACAAAGAAGCCGCCTGTATACAGCAAGTATATTTCGGCACATAGGGAATTGCATTGTTTTATATGTATTGATGCAATCCTCCAGCCCAATCCCATTTTATCTCTAGTTCTACATCTTAGCATGACTAAGCAAAATGAAGGGAAGATGGCTACTGGTGTATGCAGATTATTTTCTGAATGTATTGGAAGAACAAAGTTGTTGAGGTTTCTGACTGCTCAAACGTCTCTTTTCATGTATATGTTTTCAAAGTTTTATAATAGACTATAAATAGTTAAATTTTAAGTATTTGAGCTAAAAATGTTATTTAGCTTGTAACCAAATTTTTTTGTAGCCTGTTATGCTCATTTCTGACCTAACCGTGTTCGTTTCCAGTCTTTGATGTTTTTGTTTTCTCATTTTGCTGAAGACAATTAAAAATACATTAAAATTTGTAAAATTAGGATTATAAATGTTCCCAATTTTTTATTTTTTGCATAAAAGAACATTTAAAAACTCACATTTTCTTGAAAACTTGTTAAAAGTCACACAAACATTTTTCAGATACAAGCCTTTATTACAGAATAAAAAACAAGGGGTCACTCAGAATTTAGTGATAAGGTTTGGAAAGTAGCCTTAGCCAAACACATTTAAGGATGTTTATGCAGTGACTAAACGATACACTTCGCAAACAGATGACCTCTTTGTTCTGTGTCACTGACTGTTGTTTTAAATTATTTCAGTTCGACCAAAAATGGTCGTAACCATTGGCCCCAGTTCCACTGTGGTCCTGAGCCGCGACCAGGGGGAGCCAGAATGTGACGTGTGCGTCTATGGTGGTCCCGCTCCTGACTGCAGCTCATCAGAAAAGACCCTGAAGAGTCCTGGCAATCTGGAAGTGGACTTTGGCTGCCTGAACCCCCAGGAGGTGTTCACCATGAAGATGACAACAAAAATAGGTAACTGCACATCTTATCTCAGTGGGTAATGAGAAACTTTTAATTAACTGGTAAATACTTATTTTATTTATTTATGTACTTTTATGAGGCTCAACCACTTGCTTCAAACCATCTTGTTTACCAGTGGGTCCTCTATAGAAAGGTTAAACCGAAATAAAAAACTGAAATAACAAACACAACATTTTCCAGGCAAACGTAAAATCGACAGGACGAGAGCAAAAACACACAAAAAAACAAGTAAACATGTAAATACATCTGAAAATTGTAACCAATTCAATAAAAACAAACACTTCACAGCAGAAGTGTCAAAAATTGCCAAGTTAAATGTAACCACTGGCCTGTACAAAAACATCATAGTGATTATTTTAAAAATAAAATTGTACTGCTCAAAAATAGCCCTTATGTCAGTAAAAAGTTTCCTGGGACAATTTTCATCAACAGCCAGCTAGACACAATTCTAGAAATTGCAACCGGGGTCTGCACAAATTCCCTCTGCGGGCCGCATTTGGACATGTCTGCTTTAAATCCATTTTTGGCCGCTTATCCAGGGTCGGGTCACGGCGGCAGCCTAAGCAGTGAGGCCCAGACTTTGCTCTCCCTAGCCACTTGGGCCAGTTCCTCCGGGGAAATCCCAAGGCGTTCCCTGGCCAGCCAGAGACATAGTCCCTCCAGAATGTCCTGGGTCTTTCTTTAGGTCTTCTCCCAGTTGGACGTGCCCAGAAAACCTCACCAGGGTGGCGTCCAGAAGGTATCCTAGCTAGATGTCCTAGCCACCTCAACTGGCTCCTCTCGATGTGGAGGAGCAGCGGGTCTACTCCGAGCCCTCCCGGATGACCGAGCTTCTCACCCTATCTCTAACAGAGAGCCCAGCCACTCTGCGGAGAAAACTAATTTCGGTCATTTGTATATGTAGTCTCATTCTTTCGGTCACTACCCAAAGCTCGTGACCAGATTTCTGACTTGAACTAGAAGGAGGGACCACATTACCCTGTTGGCTTCTCTGCACTGGCTTCCGGTGTATTATCAGGCAAAATTGAAGATCCTCCTCCCTGTCTTCAGGGTGCTGCAGGGCAGTGCTCCCCCATACCTGGCTGCACTATTACAGTGGCATGTCTCCTCTAGGGCCCTTCGCTCTGCTGAGCAGGAGTTGCTGGAAGTCCCCCGCTCTATACTGAGATCTAGGAGGGACTATTTTTATTCTCTTATCTACTATGATGTTTTTATCCTTGTTGTTATGTGCTGTTCAGCACCTCGGGCCTCCACTATGGTGGTAGAAGGTGCTATATAAATAAAATCTGATTGATTGATTGATTGGTTGACCATAGGTGAGGGTTGGAGGGAGCTTTAAAGTAATCCGAATATAATTAAAGGATAGGTTTCTCATATTTTACTTTGTGCAAAGTTTGGCAGAATAATTAAATACAATTTTTTAACTCTTCCAAACTTTTGTCTCAGCATGCACGACAAGCTCCTGCACTCCAGCCGTAGCTAATGTTGATCCCACCCTCTTCAAGGACTTCAAAAGAACCCTGATGTGGGACATTAGTGTCCCAGAAAGGACCGTTTTATCTTTGGACTTTGGACCTAGTTATGGACTAAAGGACATTTCCACCACAGACAATTGCCAGGATGGTTATAAGTACACTGTGAGTACATCTAGGTTTGATGGAACCATCCAAACTAACAGTTACTGCAAAGATGGGAAGGTGTCTCAACTAGAACTGCTTGGAGCAACAACTGTAACACTTGAGTTACCCACAGGAGGAGATCTGGACCGGACTGTGTTCAATGTAAACACAACTCCAAGACGTAAGCACGCCATTTCAACAAACGTTTACAGCAGTTTAAGTGAATAAATCTTTGCAAAAGTTGTATTTTTGTTTTTCTAGGTGGCAGACAAGAGTCTGTGACCTCTGACCCCAACACCATGATCTTCATCAGCAGGGTGGCCCAAGAGCCAGACTGTAGCGTGTGTGTAAACGAGGGTTCTGGTCAAAACTGTAACCCACAGTCCCTTAGCCTGACTGACCCTTCCAACACCATCGTAGAGTTCACGTGTCCACTGCCTCAAGACGTCTTCAGTGTGGAGATAAACAGGCAAATTGGTAGGAATATTCAAATTAGCTTAGTCATGTTCTGATTCGTATAAAAACTGGTTTCTGAAGATATATTTTTTTAATGAAACAACCAATCACACGCTTTAATGCTAATTTAACAGATGGTGAAGTTTTATAAAAGTGTTTTATTAGGAACATTCACTTAGGATTTTATGGCCTTCAAACGCGGCACTCCTGAAAAACTAACTCGTGTGTTCTGTCTTCAGACTGCACAAAGTCGTCCTGTGTAGGTGACACTGTTCACGCTGAATCCACATTCTTTCCTGACTTCAATCGGACTTTCACTTGGGATCTGAAAGTTAACTCCCCTAAGACTTTCCAGCTGGACTTTCCAGAGCCGGGAATGCGACAAGTCCAAAAAGAAGAATTGTGTCCGGATGGCCACACGTACTCCCTTATTGCCTATCCGCGCACCGGGTTTGCAGATATTGGTACCTTTTGCCAAGGAGGCCCTGTGAACACAGTACAGGTTCGTTACAAGGGCCGCATGTCCTTGAGGGTGCCTGGGAATGCTAAACTGGGTCCTGCCAACTTTAAACTGGATGTTGGACCTGAGACCAGAAGTAAGTCAGTTACAAGAATTTATTCCCTTAACTGTTGTGACCGGAGAGCGAATTTTGAGATTTTTAGGCCTCCAGAGACCAAATCTGTATGACTTAATGTATCAAAGTGTTATGGGAAAGTTTTATTAAAGTTAGGGTTTTCCAACTGCACAACATAAGGAAAAAAGACAGAAAGGCAATGAGACGAGGAAAACTGATTTAACGAGTCACCCCTGCTTGCCGTATTACAGAGTCGGCTAACGTTTTAGCCTGCACTTGCAACCAGACTTTATATACTTGATGAAACTACTAAAACATGAAACTGTTGGGTTTAATGAGTCAAACTATCATTTTTATTATCCATCGAGTTTACCAAACTTGGATCTACTTCCTGTAAAGCCCTTTGACAATAAGAGCTTTGGGCAAATGCACATTGCAATAACATAAACTTGGTTGCTTGTAAAAACACAGCTGGTGTCATTATGGGTATTTTATATTCTCTTCCTATATACTATGTCTTATATTAAAGGTGCAGTGTGTAAGAATAGAGTAAGACGACATCCTGTGGTAAAGTTTGGTTACTGCAATCACTCTACTAGAAAATTTCTAGGTTTGCAGGTTGTAGGCCGCTGGTCTAAACCAAACTCATGTTAAACTTAAGCGATCAGAGCTCTGGTTTGAAGCTAACCATGTTCCCCAACAATTATTAATCTCTGAATAATTTAAAACATGTGATCATAAGTTTTTTTTTTTTAAATAAACCCAGATGGAGCTACCAGTTTCTCACTTGTTTTCTGCATCTCTCTGTCTTAGTGCTGGCCATCATGAAGGTCAGTCTACCTCGAGGTGTATCGGATACAGACTTCAGCACACCCTACTTCCCCAGGAAGTTCCCCGATCTTCAGCAGATGCAGTGGGATTTCACAGTACCCGGCATGCACAACTACACCATCCTCTTTCATAACTACACAGTCCCTGAATGCCTGACGGGCGATGTGGCGGTGGAGTATCAGAAAGGGGAGTCAAAGGTGACTACACTGACTCTGACGGATCCCCAGCCTCAGCATCAGCAGGGGGACTTCAGCATGGTGCTGAAGAACTGCGAAACCAACACAACGCTCCAAGGGCTCAGCTTGAGCTACAGAGTCTCTGTGATGAGAAGTGGTCATCCAGGTAATAAATTACATCTGGTTCCTTCTCACTGCAGTGTTTCAGTACCTTCCAGAGTGAGCTGTTTCAGGGCTCTGTCACTTTTAAGAAAACAAGATGGGGCTGTCCACACCTATCTTCTGATTGGCTGCCATAAGATGAGAAGTTCTGATATCCAGAAGGTTCTCAGAGTAGAACCGCTGCTCCTCCAGCAGCAGCAGCTCTCTCTTACATGTGAGAGCCAATTCTATTCTACTTTCCCAGTTTGTGGCATCACAATCGGACGCTAAAAATTGGCTCGTTTTAGTCACATAATTCCTAAAGTCAAACACTGACAGAAAACAGAAGGACAAGTTTTTTTTACCTTTAGGGTGTTCTTTAGAGGTAGTAGAGACCCACACGACAGCACGAAAGGATGCAGAAGGTGGATTTTAAATAATATGTCCTCTTTAACTATGAAAGTTAAAGTAGGAGTGTTTTATTTCCCACTTCTCTACGTTTCTCAATGTTTTTTAAACAGAAATTGTGAGATTGTACTTGTTAAGTTCATTGCTCAGCTTTTAAAATGCTTTAAAACACTGAAATTTTTTGGGCAGAAATGTAAAACAGGCAGTCAAAAACAAATAGTTTCCAAATAATAAAAGTATAAAGATATTTTCAGAATAAAAGCTCAAATTAATTCCTGAATACTGTGTTGTGTTTCTCCGTTAGTTCTCTGTACAGTGGATTTAACCAAACAACAAGGCGTGTCCCTGCAGATTGAGAAAGTAGGTTCGGACCCGTATTGTGAGATCAGCTTAAACTCTGAGGTCAAAGAAAAGATGAATGTATTAGAAAGAACCACAGCCCGTCTCTCCTTCCTGGACTGTACAAAGGATGACCTTCGTCTGACTGCTAGACAAGTTTTTGGTAAGAAACCGCTAATTCTTATGATTTACTCTCAAAAATGTTAAGTAAACATAAACCTCTGAACTGTAAATATGGCTTTTTATAGACACAGGACATGTTTTTGTGGATGTGACCTGATTAACTAGGCAAAAATAAACATTAAGGTCCTTTAGGCAAAACAGGATCTTAACAGCTCTACTCTGGGAACCAATCGATGTCCGTTTAGAAATTTTATCTTTTTTTTTTCTTTAAAATTTAGTTTTATTTTTGTTTATAATTTCCTGAATAAATCCGTCCTAATTACAAAAGATAAAAAATTAAAATTTGGAGTCAACCCAATTCAAGATGGCCACCATGGCTAATTGGTAAACCCAAGCTATAATTCAGTGTAACAGAAAATTATCTAAATTTCTATATTTTGACTTCACAGACTGCCCAAATGCTGCATCGTGCCCTCCATTTTCTCTAACCATTCCCTCTTTGGACTCCTGCCTCCCGATGCCACTCAGTAGCTTCACTTGGCTCCTCAGAATCCCCAGCGACCAATCGCTGGACCTGGTATCTCCATCTGGGAGTCTTCAGCAGGCCCTCCCGGGACAGGAGTGCCAGAAGGATTTTTTGTTAAACGTGGCTGAGGCTGATGGGTATTCTGTTGGAGATTTCTGCCTCAATGGCAACATTCAGAAAGTTCAAGTGCACGCCAATATCACCGTCACAGCTACGACACCAGACTTCAGCAAGGTCAGAGAGCCGTTTCTCAATGTCAGCATTGGTCCAGAGATCTCAGGTAAATGTATTTTTGTAAATGCAGTTTTGACCTGCTAGCTTCTTGGGACTCAACATATTGATGATAAAGTACTATTTAAATTGTCAAACAGCTTATTTTTTTCATACATTTGCCCAAAGAAACGTGAAATATTTTTTGTCTTTCTGACATGTTTCGGGTGAGTAAGTGCCTAAAAATCCAGTTTAAAACTGGTTCTTTAAGTGGTTTGTTGACAAACACTGGTTCATCCAGTAGGCCTAAACATTTATCTCTAAATGATTTATAACAAAGGCAGAATCCTTCCTCTGAAAGTCCTGATCAAAAAATGACTATAAGAGCAGCTAAGTGCGTCTTGGCTAGTAGAAGCTAACCGTTAGCGTTAGCAACTCCACAAAGTGGCAGATTCAACTGTACAGAAAAACGATGGACCATTTTAAACTATAGGAATGAATCGGTTCACGCTGCTTTAACAGAGAAAAATACCTAACGGTGATTAAAGATTAATAAGAGGAAAATGGATAAATGGTTCTGACTCTTTGTTATTTGTACTTTTGCTGTGTTGTTCTGCGTTTCATCAACACCTGAATACAGCAGGTTCATACTTGCTCGTGGCTGTTTTTAATCACCGAGATACTTAACATCAAAGATAATCCTGATTATGAAAGAAAAAGACTTAAAGTTGTTAGATTATAACTACCTCACGAGTTAGTATTCTCGTCATTTTCAGGTTTTCATTGAATCTAATTCTTACAAAGTGTGACTGCTGTTTTTTTGTTTGTTCCATTTGACATTAGATGGTAAAGATTTTAGCTTTTTCAGACAAAAAAAACATTCTTAAAGAATAATTTAATGGCATAAAATAGTTAACTTGTAAAATCTAGAAAATAGTCAGTCTTTAAAATGAATGTATTAGAGCTGTATTTGCTTCCAGATACCACATAGTGGCAGTAAGTCACAGCAGTCAGACTCCAGCTCTGAGACTCCTCTCCATTTCTCTTACTATCCAGAAACCTTCATCTACAGCATTGACCCGACTATGACCATTCTCACCCTACTGGCCACCCCTAACTGGCCTCAGGGCATGAGACCTTTCTCCACCGCATCCTGGATAGTCTCTCTCCCAAGTCAGTACAGCGCAGACATTCAGTTTGCCAACCTCAGCCAGCCCATATGTGCTGAAAAACACACCCAAATCAAGGTGAAGAACCTGGACCAGAAGGCAGAGCTGATGAGCCGGCGGGAGGACGAGAAGATAGAAAACTTAATGGCACAGCAGAGTTTCCAGCTGGATATGTCCAACTGTAAACCAAAAACGGGAGACTTTGGTGCTATGACCAAAATTGTTCTTCAGAAAAAGTCCAGTGAGTAATCTTTTTTCGGACCCAGAAATGCTCTCACCTTCACAAACTTTGATTCAATTTTGAACGTTTCTTTATTTTTCTACACAGATCTATTGGCCATTCTTCTTGGTTTAGCAGGAGTTCTTCTGCTTTTGATCTTATTGCTAGCTGCTGTCTGTGTTATAGCAAGGTAAGTACCCCAAAGACCTTATTCTAGATGGCTGCCACAGGAGACGGATCTCAGAAAGCAAAAAAACAAAAACAAACAAAACAAAAAAAAACAGTGACACCTCTCTCAATTTAGCAGATATTGAGCTAAAAATATGTGTCACTTTAGCTAAGAGTCAATAATGACATACTTTGAGAATTATACGTCTTTGCTTAAAATTCTGGTATTATATGTGGTGTTTCTATATTGCCTGAAAGGCTCTTCAAATAATGATGGCAGCCAATAAATTAAATTAAATTGAATGGCCTCTGAAATGTACAATACTGGAGAAACCTCATTCAATAGTTGTGAATGTCCCGTTTTAAAGAAGGAAGTAAAGCCAGAGCTGGGCTAGCTGGTGTAATGGAGGGAATGTTCATTCTGTTTGAAATTTTTATTTAAGGAGATGTTTTACAAGGAGATGTTTTACATGTTCTGTTTAGAGTCTGGTTCTGTTCTTGTTGGGAAATGTGTGATGGACCTGTTGTCTGTGAGCGCAGCCTGTTGGTTGGCAAAGCTTTCCATCAGTTTGCTGACTTGGCGATGTGACTGTGACGTGTGTGTGTACACGGTTGGACAGAGGATAATAAGTAGAAGGAGGTTCATCAGTTCCTGAATGTTTGACCTGTTGCTTGTGGGATTCTCCCAGATAATTGCTGGAACTGCTGCTGCTGATTATAACTGCCTCGTTTTTTTACTATAAAAACATGACACTATAGCTAGCATACTAAATTGTAACACAGTTGCAGTCAAAAAACGTTGATCTGAACCCTTGGGAACAAGCACTGTGCATTCCTGAGGGACGGCTCGATGGGTGATTTTATTGAATATTTATGTTTCATGATTAGATTCCTATCGACTCTTATTTTTCTGTTTTGTATCCTATCTGAACAGGAAAAAGAAACAGAGACGGAAAGAGTCATCCATCTATACGACCAACAACATCTTCCGCCCAAGTGATCGACACTTCACCAAACCTTCCCCTGACAACAACTCTTACGACTACATAGATGACAGCATGGTCTACGGTCACATGTTGACGGACACCAGCTACCCAGACCGCTCGCTAGACTTCCCAAAAGGCAAGCAGGCGGACACCTATCAAACCTTTACAGGCCCCACCGATGTACCACTGCCTATCATTAATGAACCAGAATCTGAGCCTGAGATGGACATGTACACACCGTTCCTTGACACCTCTGAGTCTTTCATCCCGTCCCGCCCACGCACTCCCATCAACCGGCAGGAAAGCCTCGGCTTCCAGGACAGCAGGATGACGGATAATCAGTTTTGCACGTTCAAAAGCACAGGTGATATCAACACCATCCAGCTCTCTGGTGA